CGGGGTAGCCCACTGAAGCCCCACCCCCAACCCGGTCCCCAAGCTAGTGTGAAGGAGGGAGGGAGAAGGAAGGGAGGAGACAGGGAGGAGCCTCCCTGTCCCTCAGTTGCTCGTCACTGCCTGAGGCATTGAGATTGATGGCCTCAGTGGATTTTTTTTTCTTTTTTTGATTGGACAGCTTGGACCAATGGCATTTTGCCATTGGTCCAAACCATCCACAGAGCTTATACCTCTAACACAGAGTAGAGGCTGTGACAGCTCTTGTCTCACTAGATAAGTTACACAAGCAGTGGGGAAGCCTGCTGCTGTTTAAAACCCAACTATCTGTTAAAATCTGGATGTAATTAACAGGCAGCGCTCTGTCTATGACAGGGTACACAGCGGGGAGGATTTCCCTGCTGTGCAACCTGTAACAAGCCGATCTGAATGGAGAAAAAGCTGTCAGCTTCAGATATGAAGCTGACAGCTTTTTCCTCCATAATACTAGGTGAGGCTCTGCCTCCTCTGACTCACCTGACCGCACGTACCCTGCTTTGTAATGGCTACTGCAGGATGCTACATTTTAACTATGCAGTTGTGAGAGTTAGAGATTAGCATCAGAAAATTAAATACCAGGTTTTAGGTTGTGGAATCCAATACATTTTTTAAACTTTAGAATAAAGATTAAAGCCTCCAAAAATATATGCAACTACTAAATCTAAAAGGTTATAAATATATTAGCTTGCTTTTGAAGAAGAGAAATGTTATATTGTTTGGAAAATGTTGCAAGTTTATGTGGTTACTAATATTTCCCTTCACAAGTTATCTGTTATATTTTAAATTATTTTGTACAACTATTAAAACATTTATGGGCTTTCAAGTGGTTTTCTCAGCAGTCTTTTTAAAAATGTTCTATATATTTTGGTTGTACAACCAAAAGACTGTAAATAATTTGCCTTGCATTCTGCTGCCATTGTTTTCCACTAAAGCCTCATCCCTTTAATAGTGTTACCCTTCCACATACTCCCAGAGCTTCTTCACTGATAGACAGAATCAATAGGCAGATTAAAATTGGAGCATTTCAGGTGTAGGAAGCAGTGGCAGTCTAAGTACAGTGTGGTCTGCTATAATTTACAAGCACTCTTTTTATTTTAGCTATATAACTTTTACAGAGGCTTTTCAAACAAAATAACGGATGGCATGGATAATGAAACAGGCACGCCACGTTTCCATTACTTTCGGATATGAAAATTCTTTTCTTAGACAGGTTCCATTGGGTTTTGCCCATCCGTGCTTGCTTTACTGAATATAATGAAATGTAACTGTCACTGGTACAACCATCAAGAAGAACACTGCATCAGAATAAATAACTACAGTTCCATGACAACTACCCAATCCATGGATACCTTTGGATGGGTTTTTTTCTGGTCCATCCTCTAAAGTGGTTTATTATGGATAGGGATAAATGTGGCATTGGTAAAGCAAGTTTAATACAGGAGTATTGGGTTAGGTGAAAATCACGATTATCTAGCTTTTTCATACTTTCAATTGCAGGTCTTGAGTTCTCAGAAATTAACATGCATAGAGTATATTAATAAAACCTGCTTGACAAGAGTTCACAATAAAAAAAGCAGCACCAATAGCAAGAAAGCAGCATTGTGGTAGTTGACAGACATGAGTTCAATAATATAGATTTTCTAATATGTTTTTTTTTGGCAGCACAGAGGCTTAGCATAAGTCTTCTCTGTGTTTTCCACTTTTCTTTTAAGATCATAACACATGTTTGCTCATGCTTGTTTTTAGATGTAGCAGGCACATTGGGCAGTATGTGGATTCACACCAGTTTTTCTATATTTAGCACAAGTTAACATCCATTCACATAGACATCCATTTTTAATGGATTGCATTGTGTTGATGTGCATTTTTATTCCACAAAATGTTTTATGGTTTTCAAATAGACATTACAATAAAACAGGAAACATACTTAAATAATTTTGAAAGCATATACAAAGTGGTCAGGTAATGTTATGGAGATTAGATATGGTAAAACAGAATATTTAGGAATGAACAACAAAGTAGCTCCGTTGGTAACATGGGTCACACTCCAATAGAGGAGACCACTGTATTTTGACTCTGGAGGTCTAAGCCTCAAGGTTGAATGAAAACAGGGTGGAAAATGGGCTATGACTGCTCATTGGGAGTAGTAGGCAATATGTAAAGTGAAGTTAGAAAAAGGGTGATATGCTTTTCCTAACTTTAGGCTAGGTAGGCACTTCACACATTTCTCCAGGAGATTCCATCAAATTTGTAGATGGACTGGGTCAAAGTCCAACAAACCATTATAGGTAATCCAAGCATTCTTTAAAGCATTGCAGCAAGGTGCAGTTTTTCTTTAATTCACAGCAGTACTCAAAATATATTATTTTTCTTTCCTTAATGTGGGTTGCAGCTTACTGTGATGTTGAGCTGTATATAAATGCAGCATGTTTCATTTTCACTGCATTGGTGTGAACAGGGCCCATGGGAAACAAATAGATTTTCAGCTTGCCATAGTCTAGGGCAGTGGTGGCAAACTTTGGCACTCCAGCTGTGCCAAAACTACAAATCCCAACATGCATCTGCCTCTGGGAGTTATGTATGTGGCGGTCAGAGCCTTGCAATGCCTCATGGGACTTGTAGTTCCAAAACAGCTGGAGTGCCAAGGTTCGCCACCACTGGTCTAGGGCCTGCATTAAGGAATGTGGCCCAACACAGATCATTGGATGTGGTGTGAATGGGCCATAAGCTCCTTCAGAAGCACACTATAAATCTACTGTATATTTAAACATAATGTACAGGTACTGTAATGCATGAAGACAAAGCATGCAATGATGCTGAAAGAGATCTATGTGCTTTCAGTTGCCAATACATACATTTGTGGAGCTTTTAGTTACTTTCACAATGTATATACAGGATGCAACATTGCCATTCAATACTATGTTATTGTGTTTTTGGTATGACTGCTAGGGGTTCATTGATGCTATTGTGCTTTAAATTTCACATATCCTACATTGATGCTTTGATGTTTTTTAGTGTCTGTGTCCCATTGGGGAGATTTCCCCTCACTTCAAGTCCTGAAAACACACCAGAGAGAGAAGAAATCTCTCTATCCTTTTTTAGACAGTTATTACTGGAACAGATGTTCCCATTCCAAGAATATTTCCCCTTGCCTCTGGTTTCTCTTATAAATGTAATATTTCAAATTTCCCATCACTTTCTGTCTCTGCGACAATGGGTATTAGGGTTTTACCACTTACCTTATTCCCTCCACAAGGAAAACACATTTTGAAGCTTTGGATATACTTAACATTCTTTGAGAATGGGCTTAATGACCAGCAGAGATTTTTTAAAATTGTGTTTGAAATTACATTCTCTTTTTTTATATGCAGTATGAAAATCAATAGACCTTGTTTGCAATAATTGCTAAAATCCATGCATGCTCAGCATGGTGGACAGAACGCAGCCTGATTACTGTGTAGAAAGCAAGGATAAGGTACATAAAGTCATATCAGGTGTCTTCTGCACGGGGAAACATTCACAGCATGGGCTGTTGAAAGCGACATTATAACACCCCACGCAGAATACGATACTTAACCCCTTAGTGACAGGTTCAGAAAATATTTTTGTTCCTGGGCACCGGAGCAATTTTTAAATTTTTGCTATATGTTTGTTCAACCATAATTTGGCTGGCTGGATCAGGCAGACGCGGCTCCCCAATCAGGCACTGTAGAGGGCCCCCCGCTGGGGCCTCGGAGGAGCGAGCGCCCGCCCGATGACAGAGCCGCGTCTGATGCGGGCGGGC